AGACTGAGGCCGAGCTTATGAACATGAAGCCCTTCACTGGGCTGAGTTGGAACTCAAGGCTGAAGCTGAGCTTTAATCTTAAAGCCCTTATTTTGGACTGAGCTCAAGGCCGTGGCCGAGCTATTAAACTTGAAGCCTTTCGTTGGGCTGAGCTTAAGGTCGAGGCCGAGATAATAAATTTGAAGCCCTTCATTGGGCTGAGTTGGAGCTCAAGGCCGAGGCCGAGCTATTAAAGTTGAAACCCTTCACTGGGCTGAGCTCGAGGCTGATGCCGAGCTTTTAAACTTGAAGCCCTTTGTTGGGCTGAGCTCAAGGCCGAGGCCGAGCTATTAAATTTGAAGCCCTCATTGGGCTGAGTTGGAGCTCAAGGTTGAGGCCGAGCTATTAAAGTTGAAGCCTTTCACTAGGCTGAGCTCGAGGCTGATGCCGAGCTTTTAAACTTGAAGCCCTTTGTTGGGATGAGCTTACGGTCGAGGCCGAGTTAATAAATTTGAAGCCCTTCATTGGGCTGAGTTGGAGCTCAAGGCTGAGGCCGAGCTATTAAAGTTGAAACCCTTCACTAGGCTGAGCTCGAGGCTGATGCCGAGCTTTTAAACTTGAAGCCCTTTTTTGGGATGAGCTCAAGGCCGAGGCCGAGCTATTAAATTTGAAGCCTTCATTGGGCTGAGTTGGAGCTCAAGGCTGAGGCTGAGCTATTAAATTTGAAGCCCTTCATTGGGCTGAGTTGGAGCTCAAGGCTGAGGCCGAGCTATTAAAGTTGAAGCCCTTCACTGGGCCGAGCTCGAGGCTGATGTCGAGCTATTAAATTTGAAGCCTTCATTGGGCTGAGTTGGAGCTCAAGGCTGAGGCCGAGCTATTAAAGTTGAAGCCCTTCACTGGGCTGAGCTCAAGGCCGAGGCCGAGCTATTAAATTTGAAGCCTTCATTGGGCTGAGTTGGAGCTCAAGGCTGAAGCCAAGCTATTAAATTTGAAGCCCTTCATTGGGCTGAGTTGGAGCTCAAGGACGAGGCCAAGCTATTAAAGTTGAAGCCCTTCACTGGGCTGAGCTCGAGCTCAAGGCTGAGGCCGAGCTATTAAACTTGAAGCCCTTCGTTGGGCTGAGCTCAAGGCCGAGGCCGAGCTATTAAATTTGAAGCCTTTCATTGAGCTGAGTTGGAGCTCAATGCCGAGGCCGAGCTTTTAAACTTGAAGCCCTTTTTTTAGGCTGAGCTCAAGGCTGTGGCCGAGCTATTAAACTTGAAGCCCTTCGTTGGGCTGAGCTTACGGCCGAGGCCAAGCTAATAAATTTGAAGCCCTTCATTGGGCTGAGTTGGAGCTCAAGGCCGAGGCCGAGCTATTAAATTTGAAGCATTCATTGGGCTGAGTTGGAGCTCAAGGCTGAGGCCGAACTATTAAACTTGAAGCCCTTCGTTGGGCTGAGCTCAAGGCCGAGGCCGAGCTATTAAATTTGAAGCCCTTCATTGGGTTGAGTTGGAGCTCAAGGCTGAGGTCGAGTTATTAAATTTGAAGCCCTTCATTGGGCTGAGTTGGAGCTCAAGGCCGAGGCCGAGCTATTAAAGTTGAAGCCCTTCACTGGGCTGAGCTCGAGCTCAAGGCTGAGCCGAGCTATTAAACTTGAAGCCCTTCGTTGGGCTGAACTCAAGGCCGAGACCGAGCTATTAAACTTGAAGCCCTTCGTTGGGCTGAGTTGGAGCTCAAGGCCGAGACCGAGCTTTTAAACTTGAAGCCCTTTTTTTGGGCTGAGCTCAAGTTCGTGGCCGAGCTATTAAACTTGAAGCCCTTCGTTGGGCTGAGCTTACGGCCGAGGCCGAGCTAATAAATTTGAAGCCCTTCATTGGGCTGAGTTGGAGCTTTTTCCTTATGATTTAATGACCTCCGGGTCTTCACTTGCTCCATCAAGAATTGCGACGACGAGAATCTTTGTCAAATCGTCATCTGCTTGGATCTTGAGCTCCATTCTAGAGTCTCTCGGAGGATCAAAAGCCTTTTTTGCGGTAGGATTTGTCTCCTTATATGTATGTGGTTTTAGCAATTTCAGGGCGCGCGAGGTCGCCTGCAATCTATGGCTTCGTGCTATGCCGCGCGTGTTCACCATGTATGGGAGTCGAAATTTTCCGTTTCCCACAGACGGCGCCAATGTTCGATCCTAGAAAGACCGTATTGCTATACCGCTGTATGGTATGCGCTCAGAGATACTGTATAAACTGATGTATACTTGGCTTATAGCCGATGTCTCAATCACTGCGCACAAGCAATAGGCTTATAGCCAAGACGTGGGTGTGTGCACAGTGTTGGCAGTATTAGTAAATAGGTTAAAAGTGTATACCTGGGGTCTTTAACCTCTTATTTATAAGGGTTACCTCTTGGGCTTGTGTAGATCTTCCAGTTGTAGTAGGATTTAACTTCCTTTCTGTTGGGATAGGGACTCTATCCTTAGCTGCCTTACTGTTTTATATTGTTAGAATAATTGAAGAATTATCCTTTAAGGGATCCTTGGGTAGGTGGTTAGAATATGGAAATATTCCATAACACCTCCTTTGCGGCGCTTTCATCCCTTCTTTTTGGGCATTTTTCTAATGGAAGGATCATTTGGTAGCAGCCCTCTTCATTTTCTTTCTTATTTTTTTTTTCATTATTTCAATAGATCTAAAAATTTGATTCTAAGTTTCTCATTTTTATTTTATGATATTAATGAATGAATGTTATATAAATGAATTTCAGTTTATATTTTTATAAAATGCGTTGTCGTGGATATTTTTTAATGTGTGTGGACGAGGTATGTTTTAACTTGCTGCAAGTTAACAATAACTTGGACCTAACAAGAAAGCACACGGCACCAAGTTGGAAGTGAAAACGATTCAAATGAAAAATAAAAATAAAATAAAAATGTTAAGGCATTGCGAAACCTTAGTCGTTAAGTTTTTAAAAAGGGAGATACAATCATTGGGTTTCCAACCATCCTCGCTTTACGCCTTGAAATCCGTTGCTACAGTGAAATGGCAAGATTTTTAATAAAATTCTATGAAATAAAATTTTTTTTAAAAATAAATTATAAGAGTACTCATCTTGTATTTTTTTTTTTTGGTAGATACTTATCTTGTAATTTATAATGTATCATAAATTTGATTTATTAAGAAATTAAAGATAAATATTTTGTAATTATTAATTTTATAAAAAAAAATTTACTATAATATGTAGGCTTTCAGCCTCAGTGCTGCTTAAGGCAGATAAGATTTATTTTAGGAAACAAAGAGAAAGTTGGTTCAGTTACTTTGTTTTTAAAGGGAATATTATCTTATTTTCCAAATAATGAATTTTATATTAAATATTATAATTTGAGCAATAAAAGTTAAATATTTATAAAACTTACACGGTAAACAATAAAAATGACAACTTACTATAAAAGTGTTTATTATTTTTAAGTTTTTATATAAGAAAAATTATACTCTTATACATAAGACTTCTCTCTCATTTTATACTCACATATAAAGACGTGCTTCTCTTTTTTTTTCTTTTTTTAAAAATTAGTGAATCCCACTTAATTTATCTCACAACATGAGATAACTTCTCTCATACAACATGAGAGAAGTAAAACCCTTTATATAATACAATAAGTAAGGTTATAAGAACATTTTTTTTTTACAAATTTATAATTTATACTATGTCTGACCAATAATACTATATTCAAGAATGTATTACCGGTTAGACATAACGTAGTTTATAAATATAATTTTTCCTTAATTAAATTAATAAATATTTTCCGATTCAACTTCCTTATTAAATATGATATTTTTATAAGTGTAGTAGGAAGTCCTAAAACTAAGTGTGAGATGGTCAAACCAAATAGTACAATGTCAGAGGTACCACCATCCTTTTTCAAAAGAAAAGAAAGTTGTAGTATGTTGCCAAATGCAAATGGATATTTATGTCCAAAATAATAGCTAATTACTAAAGTTGATACTGAGAATTGCGTTTGTAGCAACTAGTGCGTTTGGTTTTTCAAAAGCTAAGGTTCCCAACAAACAATCTTCTAATAATTGGAAGCGCTAAATGAAAACGTCTAAGGTAAAAAATCCAAAGTTCTTTGTTTCAAACTCGGTCTGTGATTCTGTTCCACTATTTGGTCCTTTGAATACTTTTTTAATTTTATCAAGTAACTTGAACTTTTAAGATACTTGATTTATGATAATATATAATTTCTAAAATATTTACATGTTTATTAAGTGCAACAATCCCATTGAGCGCTTTCTCCAAAACAAAAAAACAAAAAAAACTCCCTAGACTTTATGAGAAAAATATCTTTTAAAAGTAAATCTAAGTGTGAATAAATATTGGTACTCATTACAAGGTTAAGATTTTAATAACAGACGATTTTAAAAAGAAAATTAAACACCATTGAATTATATGGCTGGGGAAACCTATAAATTTTTGTAACAATACTTTATCACTTAATTTAATTTAGATTACTTAACAAATTTGTTTGTTGTGAATTCCCCACTCCCCAACCCACCCCACTAATAATTTCTGCTACCCACTATTTTGTTTTGTTTTTTTTGTTTTTTTTGTTTTTTTTTTACTATACTAACCAAAATTTGTATCTTTGTCCATGTACCACTAAACTAATCATTATTCAAACAAGAACTATCATGTAGGGCAATGTTTCTGTCAACTTTATATTCTTTCAACAACAATCCCTTTAAGTCCTTTTCTTTTTTCATTTCTTAATCACCACTCTTTCCTTAATTTCATTCTCTCCCACAAACTCAGCTAGTTGTCACTAGGTACATATATGCACCCCGTGCTATATAAACCCTCGTACCCTCCTTGTACTCTTTCCATGCCAAAACACTGCTTTTGCTACAAATTCAATTCAATTCAATTACAATTACCCTTTTCTCAATATCTCCTTCCCTTTATCCTCTCTCACACAAACAAAACTTGCTACATAGAGGTTTTGAATCAACCAAAAAATACCATATTTTTTCTTTGCTAGGGACAATATGAAGAATAGAGCTTCTGGATTTTTGAAGCATGTTATAGAGGGTTTGAGCTCAATGGCAAAGTCAAAAACTTTGGCTATCAAGTCCAAAACAAACGCCATCAAGGCCCGGTTGATTATATTCTCACTTGTGATGAACAAGAGGTATGTGATGAGCTCAATTTCTCACAAGTTCCAATCTGTTATTGGAAATCATCATCATTCTCACCCCAATGAAGAATGCTTATTGGGACAAGGCAGGGAAAATAACAAGTCCATCAAGGTGTTCAATGACAACAATGCACAATCCTCTGAGGCTGTGATCAATCCTAGTGAGACCCAAGTAGTGTTGGAGGACAAAGATGATAAGGGTGGCTATGAAAGTTACTACAATTATGGAGAACATGATGATGATTGTGTTGGTGATGGCAATTACTCGGATCTTACACACACAATGTTTGACTCGGAGGATTTGGATCTTGGAGGCTCTGTGATTGACTTGGTGAAGAATTCAAAGGAAGAGGCAGGGCAAGAGTTCAAAGTGGAAGATGATATTGACCTTATTGCTGACCTTTTTATTAAGAAATTCCGCAGGCAAATTTTATTGCAGAAGCAAGAATCTTTGAAGAGGTACAATGACATGTTGCTGAGGGAAGATGCTTGAAACTCATATTCACCATCAATATTTGTTGGCTTAAGTTCAAAAAAGCTCAAATTTCATCTCCCTTTGTTATGGTTTTAGAGAATATGGGAGAGTCACAAGCAGAGCTTATAGTTTGCTGAGAATTCTGGTTCTTCATTGGTAGAAGACAAGAACAACTCATAAATCAGAAGTTTTTTTTTTCAATTCATTTTAATGATGGAAAACCGTTGGTGTCCATAGTGTTCTTCCACTTTGTGTCTTTAAGTGGCTCTGTGTGAAAAGAAGAAAGAAAAGTGTAAGATGCCATAGATGTTGGGGTTGTGTACAGTACATGTATTGGTAATTTTGTGAATCTGCAATGCATCCAATGTAGCTGAAAGAGACCATTACAAATTTACATCCACTTTTGTTGGCTAATTAAGCTGGATATTCATAAATAATAATACATGATTTTTAAACTTTTTTTTTTTATAAATTGAATGAGTGTATGTTGATTCTCAATCTAAATATGATTAAAATATACATTTGTCAATACACGTAACATTCATTTCTAATTTGGCCTCGATATAAAAAAAAAATTAATTAGTTTTTGTATGTACAGTATTTTCAATTTGATCCCCAAGCCATTTTCCGTTGTTATAATACTATATGTTGAAAATCATAACAAAATGAAGTTTTGAAACCAAATTGAAAATCAACATTGTGTGTTTGGTCTCTATGTATTATAATTATTTTTAATTTATTCCTTATACTTTATGGGTTCGTCGGATCCGGATATCTTTTTTGTGCTGCAATTCATTTAATTACGTATTTCAGGGAGTACATAATTATAATATTAAAGTTTTTTCTTTTCTTTTTCATGTCAACAAAAAAAAAAATAACTTTAATATTATAACTATGTACTCTCATGAATACAGAGTTAAAAATGAGATCACCACAAAAATCTCATTCCTTCGACATAATATTTATATTTCTTATACTTTATTGTTAGATTTTTTCTAGAGAATTATGTGTGATGCCGGCAGCAACTTCAAGGAAGCAAAATGAGGGAGTCGAAATTGTTGAAGTCTTCAAGTTAACAATATTAGGCAGCAACTATTTTTTGGTTGGAAGCTATTAGGCGTTGCAGAAGCATATTAGGCGCAACATTATTTGGCTAAAAGTTATTAGGTGTAGCAATTGTTCTGCACATAGAAGCGAGGCGGCAACACATTTATGTGTTAGAGGTTCAACCCATAAAGAGGCAGTGTTGCAGCATGGTTGAAGCATCCCTTCAAAGCATTCTGAGAGTAAGAGGGAGTTGCTCGGAGAGAAATAGTTTCACCATATAGGTGAGAGAGAAATTCTCCAAGTGAGAGATAAAAATTGTTATAAACCATCCTTAGTGGGTGGGGTGATTGTGTGTAAACCTTCAGTCTTGTACTAAAGAGATCACCATTGTAATCCTACTTTCATAGTGGAAGTTTTCTTGAACATAGTGGTCCCGTGATTTTTACTCCTCACATTGAGGAGGATTTTCCACGTTAAAATTGTTATGTGTTATCTGTGTGTTTTTCTTAGATTTCTATAATTTCCCATCTTACAGATTTACTTCGCTTCCGCAAATAGAAGTTGTTTCTAACCCAACAGTGGTATCAAAACTCTTATATCAAGGGTTGTGCTGTACGAGATTTGAGATGGAGGGTGTCGCAACACATGATGGTGATATGTTCAAACTCACCATAGAGAACTACTCATATTAGAAACCCATGATGAAGGATCATCTTTATTGCAAAGATTTAAATGAGCCTATTCTGCATACAGACAAGACAGAAGGGAAGAGCAATAAAGAGTGGGATCTCCTAAAGCAGAAAGCGGTCGCTATGATCCGCAAGTACATTGACACGAGCTTGTTCGAGCATGTGTCGACCTACACAAACGCTCATAAAGTGTGGATGAATCTGGACCCTGGTGCGCCGACTTGTGAAGTTGAACTATAGGGACAAACAAAGCATGATTGAGCACTTGAACATATACAAAGGGCTCGTAAATCGGTTAATGAAAATTGAAGTGAAGATTGATGACGAGTTGCAAGCACTTTTGCTTCTCAGCTCATTGCCTAAGAACTAAGATACTTTGGTGGTGACGCTCAACAACTCGGTCCCAGAAGAAAAGTTGACCATGGACTCAGTTGCAGACAACCTGTTGAATGAAAAGTCTAGAAGAAAAGAACGAGACCAATGTCTTTGAGAATCATGGGAGGTCGGAGAATCGAGGAAAAAGTAAAAGCTTAGGTCAAGATAAGTCTCGAGGATGGTCAAAACCGAGATTCGACTTAACATGCTACTATTGTGGGAAGACAGGTCACAGGAAGTTTGAATTTCGAACGCTCAAAAAGAGATCAGAAGAATGGCACCGTGAAGTCGAACCAGATAAATCCGAAGAAGAAAGAAGAGGAGAGCACCACAGTCGTAGCAACCAAGGTCGAGGCTGATGTCTTCCTAATCGGTGAGGATAATTATCTTAATGTAGTATATGATGACTATTCATGGATTATAGATTTAGGAGCATCATTCTATATCACACCCTCACAAGGAGTTTTTCTCATCATATCAAGACGACGACTTTGGTATCATGAAAATGGGTAACTAGGTTACCAGCAAGATAGTGGGAGTTGGAGAAGTCACGATGATGAACGACATGGGTTGTAGACTAGTTTTGAAGGAGGTCAGACATGTTCTTGATATGCGGTTCAACCTCATCTCGGCAGGTAAGCTCGACGAAGCCAGACTGATAAACTACTTTGGTTGAGGAAAATGGAAACTTGCCCAAGGTAGCTTAGTGGTAGTTCGAGGTAAGAAATAAGGATCTATCTATGTCATGCAAGGGAAGATGGGCAATGTAGAGATTGATACTATTCAGGATGAATCGAGTCTGGAGCTTTGACATAAGAGACTTGGACATATGAGTGATAAAGGTTTGCAAATTCTCACCGAGAAGGAAATGTTGTTGAACTTGAAAGGTCAACTTATGAAAACATGCACACACTGCTAAGCTGGCAAGCAATGCCGAGTTTCATTCAGAAGGTCGAACCAGCCTAGAAAAAGAAGGTATGTTCTTGATCTTGCCCATACTAACGTGTGTACTATGTCAGAGAAATCTCTAGGTGGTGCATATTACCGCGTCACATTCATTGATGACCACTCCAGAAGAGTGTGGGCATCCTTACTAAATATAAAAGACCAAGTAAGAAGTTCCATGCAAAGGTTGAAAGGGAGACCAGTGGGAAGCTAAAGGTTGTCCAAACTGACAATAACGAAGAATACCGAGGTCCTTTCGAGATGTACTGCAGGGCAGCAGGTATAAAGCTGGAGAAGACACCTCAGTTGAATGGTGTAGTCGAAAGGATGAACCAAACTATTAAAGAGCGAGTCCGGAGTATGTTATCACCTGTCAAACTTCTCAAGGTATTTTGGGGAGAAGCCATCAAAACTGCAGTCAACCTGATAAATATGTCACCCTCAAGTCCTCTAAAAAAAGAAATACCAAAAGAAGTCTGGACGGATAGAAAGGCAATGTATGAGCATCTGAATGTATTCGGATGTCGTTCATTTGTGCACATTTCCAAGGATGAACGAGCAAACCTGGATGCAAAGACCAAGGAGTATGTTTATCTTGGCTCACCAAAAGACGAGTTTGGTTATTGTCTTTAAGACCTAATCAACAAGAAGATCGTGAGAAGTCGAGATGTATTATTCTTGGAGGATTAGACATTTTAGGATATATAGAGGCCCAAGGTCCAAGCCATAATTCTCCAAGAAGACCTTGTCTCCCCTATTCGAGCTTAAACAGAGGGCGAGTCCAATCAACAAAACACTGAGGAGGGCGAACAACAAGAAGAGCCACAAACTAAAGGTGAGATAGAATCAAAACATCCAAAAGTCTGAGTTAGACACCCTTCCACCAGATATCTTACAGACAAGTGCACAGTTGTTGCAGAAATGGAGAACCTTGGAGTTATGAAAAGGTAGTAACTAGCGTTGAAAAGGAAGAATGGGAGAAAGCCATGTAAGACAAGATGAAATCTTTGCACGAGAATCGCACCTTTGATCTGGTCGAGTTACCAAAGGGAAGATGAGCTTTGAAGAACAAATGTATATGCAAACTCAAAGTGGAGGAGAACAACCCAAAACTGAGGTACAAAGCTCAGATTACGGTGAAAAGGTGCAATCAGAAAAAGGCATAGATTTTGTAGAGATATTCTCAACAATGGTGAAGATGATGTCAATCTAAAATGTTTTGGGCATAGCAGCCACTCAAGACTTAGAGGTCGAGCAACTTAATGTGAAGACAACTTTTCTTCATGGAGACTTGTAAGAAGAAATATATATGGAGCAACCGAAAGGTTTTGAAATTCCAGGTAAAGAACATTTGACATGCCGACTTAAGAAGAGTCTATATGGCCTGAAGCAATCACCCCGACAATCATACAAAAAGTTTAAATCCTTCATGACTCAGCACGAGTTCAAGAAGACTCAAGCAGACCATTGGGTTTTCATCAAGAGGTATGACAATGCCAACTTCATCATCCTCTTTCTTTATGTAGATGATATGCTGATAGTGGGGAAAGATATGGGGAAGATTAATGCCCTTAAGAAAGCTTGAGCAAGTCATTTTCTATGAAATATCTAGGCTCAACAAGACAGATACTTGGAATGAAGATTGTCCAAGATCGCTCAAAGAAGTTGTTGTGGTTATCTCAGGAAAAGTACATAGAGAAAATCCTAAAGAGGTTCAACATGGATCTATCCAAGATGGTCAATACTCCTCTGGCTTCAGAAGCAAGGTCCAACTAGTAAAGAAGAAAGACACGAGATGTCAAAGGTCCCATATCAGTCTGTAGGCAGCCTTATGTATGCCATGATATGCACGAGGCTTGACCTTGCTTATGCAGTCGGGATTGTAAGCTGATTTCTATCAAATCCAGGAAGGGAGCATAGGGATGCCGTCAGATGGATATTCAAATATCTCAAAGGTACGAT